TGATACATTTTTATACGTTTGATAGACCTGGGTAGGCGACATATGGCGGTAGACCTCACGCTTTAGTAGCACCAAAAAGAGTACATAAAACTCTTTTGTTTTGCACTAGTTTAGTTTTTATATAATAAAATATGCATAGCACTTATAAGTTAAAAAGATTCTTACTAAAGAAAAGTCAAAATAAAGGTGGTAATAAATGCATGAGCAATACAGTTGTCTGCAACAAATAAAAAACTGCTCTTAGATATATGTATTATCAATCTCATCTTTAGTGATTTATTATTTAAATTCAAGTCACTTTTGGCCTCTATGTATCATGACAGAAACAGCTCACCTATAGTCCAAAAGTCACACATGTGATTTAATTGTATGGGAGCTTATTTGTAACAAGTCTTTTCTGTTGTTTTTCAAAACACTTATGACAATTTCTTCTATGTAATATCCTTCAAAGAACTTCTTATTCAAGCTATTATTGACATTTAACAAGTGAACTTACTGGCAGATGTACAATAATCAGCCATCTTCCAGCTGATATTTCAATTTAGAAATCTAAATACTTTAGCATTAATATTTTTATTAATCTATTTATGTCACCTATTACTTTGTTAAATCTACTATCCTAACACTATAGTTCATCATCTACACATACATATTATTGTAGCTTAGGATGTTTATAATTAATCTTGATATTTCTAGAAAACTGTATCGTTATTTAGGCAGAAAAAGTTTTACATAATATGATTGGCTTGGTCTTAATATTAGAGGTGGATGATTTGTAGTATTTCATAATCAATTACATTCAACTAATCAATTAGTCTCACAAGACTTCGATAGTTGGAAAAAATAAAAAACAGTGAGACACTATTTTCAATTAGTTGATTATTTTCATGGGTCGTGATACTAATCAATTAAGCTGAATGATCATGAATTAATTAATAAGAATAATGAAAACTTACAATGGCAATATTTCAATTACTTGGATAGTTGGTATAATCAGAAACAATAATTTCAACTAGTTGATTATTTTCACAACATTAATTGATATAATCATAATTTTGACTAATCAATTATTTTACATGACACTAATTGATGCTCACAGGTAACTGATTAATTGCCAAGATCTACTTAATATCTGGAACTCTTTCTGAAGTGTATAAAACAATTAGAGCCATATAAAATGTGAGTTAGCATAGGGTGAGTCAGTCATTTGATGAGTGATCAGTGCACTATTTAATCAGTCTATATTTTATCAGTTAGCCAGTTAATTGAGTGTTGGGAGTATTGAGTTTGTATTTTGACAAAGAGATGGAGAAAAGAAAATTAGCAAGTAAGTGAAAGTTCTATTACTATTAGTTTATTTAAGAAGACTAGACGTAAGCTAAAGTTGGTTACACTAACAATGTAAATTGGATAATAAAACGTTTTCTCATGCAGGGACTGGACTTTCTATTATCGTGTTACTGAATAAAGAACAGTCCAAAATAACCTGCCCCAAAACAATTAAAACAATATGTATCCCTTCACAGCTGCTTCTTTCTTCATATACAAGCCGTACTCATCAGCTTATTTCCAACACGAATTCAATTAAAATTTTCTTCTTTTTTTTAGTCATCTTTGACTGCTATAAGTAATATTATTAACAAGTAGCAAAGCAAGCTTTTATTTGCGATATAAAACACGTGATTTATATCAATAGTGCAAGGTTATTTATAATTATATATTATACATTTTGGTTCTGGTCATGACATGTTAAAATTAAGTACCCAACGGTTTCTGTTGCTAGATGATTCATACTGACGTATATAGGCTGAAATTTACTAGTAGTTATAAAACTAGTATCAATATTACTGCTACCTTGTTAGTGTCACTGAGTAAGACTAAGAGTAATGCCAGTGCTGGTGATATCAACGCAGTAATGAAAATAAACATTTGTTAAATCCAATAATAACGCAATTTTTAAAGATTTATAAAGAAATATATTTACATAAGTTTACATTAGTCACAGATAATTACACACTGCACATAAAAATTTACAGAAGTAACAATACTGACTTTACAGTTTACATAACACTTACTACTTCAGGATCATCCGCCATTTTTGATAAATTAATACACTGCACCCGTACGGTAAATTCATGAACTAAATTAGATTATTTATTTATAATTGCATATATATATGTATATATGTTAAAGATTTATTTTCTTTTCACCCCATATATACTTATTTGTAAGTTCTAAAACTGAAAACGTCTCAAATATTTGCATTAACTCTCATAAACGAAACTTTCTGTTTAAATAGACTGGTAGCTTTCAAACTAATTTTAAATTGTAGAAACCACTTTATTCAAGATATACTCAACCATTAGCAAACTTATGAGAAGTTCCTAACTATTATTTAATTTTCTGTGGGATAGACTTCGATTTTATGGTATTTTTATCCTAGAACTTCTGTTATTTACCTATAAAGACATTTTTTCTGATAGAAGGTATTTTGAATAAGATTTATTATTGCTTTGCGTTATATTTCCCCCTTTTCGTTATACTTCTTTTTAATTCTAAGTTTAATCTTGTGAATGTTCCCTCAATAATTCTAGTCCTCTCTGAGTAAATTTGGGTGCACTATTTACAACATAGTTATTTATTTTATACTATGGAAAACTCAATTCAATAAATACATATTATTTAAATAAACATTAATTTTGCACATAATTTTAAGTCATTTCTCTAAATTGTGTATTATATGTACGTATCACTTTTTTATCATTTTACGCACATACTCACAAAATTTTTTTTAATTATATTTATCATGACAATAATCCCCTATGTAAGTCAGTGTTAAGTTTATGGACTTACAACGCTAAAATCCGGAACTCAATTCCGCGTGATGGACAGAACGCATATAGCTCATTTTATATCTCTGTGCTGAAAAAACACACAAAAAACATCCTCATGACCAGAGCTGTTTTTTTTTTAAGTCAACATGCTTTAGCAATCCCTTGGTCCGAAATACAGCTTGTAACATACGTTTAGGACTAGGAACACATTGTAAGAGAGAGAGAATATGAACATGATGATTCTTTTGAGGGTACCATCTCAGACGATCTGTGCTAGTAGTCCCTAATTTGGGAAACGTAGCTTGTCAACATGACCTACCGCCAACTTTTGTTAGACCAACTAGTGAGATTCGACCGTCACTCTCATATCGTATCCACTGCTCTAAAGTACGAATATCTATATATATATATATATTTTTGTCGTTGTTGTTGTTGTTGTAAGGAGAAGCGATTCACATAACTTCAGATTCGCAGTCTAACACGTTAGTCATTGGACCGCGCTCGGCTGAAAACAAGATTAAAGAGTAAAATACTAACTCTCTTTTGGTTTGATAAATTTTTTGAATATAAAAATGCATAAAGATACCCGCTAACAATATTGTCGTTGTTTGTTGTAAAGCACAAAGCTACGCAATGTGCTATCTATGCTTTGCCCACCGCAGGTACTGAAACCGGCTTTTTAGCTTTATAAGCTCATAGACTTATCAATGAAACCGAGGGTGGAGTAGTAATTAGAATCAATAGGATTTTTTTATGTAATTTCGTGATCCTAATGCCCTAATAAAATCGCATATTATTTTATTTCATTACCAAAAAACAAAACAACAAAAAGTCAAACAAAAGGGATTTATAACTTATTTTGTATTAAGTAAAGAAGAAGAGTTGTATAAAGTGAAAGGTTTTGGATTTTTCCAATAAGATGTTTCATTATCACTTTGCTTCTAACCTGGAATATCATGGTTATTTCATTTAAGTAATGTAGGTATAAATTTGAATAATGATATATATTTATTAGAAAACTCAATCTATAATAAATCATTTGTAAGTGTTAAGGAAACCGGATTAATCAATTTTCAAAAAAGTAAAATGCATCAAATACGCTAAGAAATTTTGCGATTTAAGTTTATCTTTAAAACACTTTGATTGTTTCTTTCTCGTAAGTATTAAGTAGTAGTAAGAAACTATTTCCTTCACGCATACAATTATAACGTGCTAATCTCCTTGACAATAATTGTGAATTTCCAGAAAAATATGTTATATACGATGCTAATATAAATTATGTTTGTTTTAGCATAAAGCTACATAATAAGTTATCTGCACTCTATCCATCACGGGGAATCGAACCCAAGATTTTAGCGTTGTAAATCCGTAAGCTTCCCGCTGATTCTCTGGGGAACCTAGAAATAAATAGAAAGCCCAATCTATTACTTAATTCATTACTTATCTTCACAATTTAGTTAAATCAGTTTTTCGCGGAATTCCACCCCTTATCAGAAAGAATAAGATATATGACAGATTGGGCTTCATATACATTTTTAGTATTTTAAAGAGCTTGTTAATTCACAAGAATAAAACAATCACATCAATGATATATATATTCTTCAAATCCCATATAAATACTGTTCACTGTGCTTAGTGAAAGGTAACTAAACCACCATACATACAGTGTACATTCACCACTGTAAAAAGTCTAGTCTTGCTATTTAGATTTGTCCTTGTCCAATGATTCTGACGATGTGTGGAATAATTTAGTAATAAGTGGTGAATCGAATGATAGATTAGGCGTTATATTTATTTCTAATATTTTAAATAGCTCTTTTACTGAATAATTAGAAAGAAAATTAGTAACATCAACAATACATATAGAAATATGTGCAATATGCTGATAGCCGTCATATACGTCAGATTTCTAAAAATAATATAAAAAAAATAGACCTATCAGCTAATCCTGTCTTTTTTTTTGTTAATCTTTTTTATATTCCTTCGTTTTTTTCTTTTTTGTTAATCTTTTTATATAAGTCATATGATCGTGACGTCATTTAGCTAAAGCTATTGTGCTATTAAAAGAAAATTTGGTATGTACAAAATTGCACTGGGAGTTGTTGTTTTTCAAATTACTCTATAAGCTAAGAAGTGCAATTAGGTTGCACGTCTGTTTTATATGAAGGTTCATTGGGTCAATGGGGAGAAACATAGAAATTTTCAGTTTTGCAGTTTTTATGGGCGTTCTTGCGTCTTTTACAATTACATATAAAGGAAGCAACTTTTCATATCCTAAGATAACCTTACACTAATCATGAATTTAGATAACTTCCGTCCACGGGACGGGTACTCCAGCTAGGTGAAAATAAATTACTGACTATACACGTGACTATGACCCCCTCCAATACACATAAATATTAGGAATACTATCTGTTTTTGTAAAATAAACTAATTTTGTGATGTATCAAGAGGATTCTTGACTCCTCCTCTATGTGCAAAGATGTAGTCATACTATAATCAGCCCCCAGTGGCACAGTCTTTAAGCTTATAACCTAAAAAGCTTGTTTCAGTACCCATAGTGAGCAGAGCAGAGCTAGCCCATTGTGAAGTTTTGTGTTTAACAATAAATAAACAAATGAAATAATATACTCATTTTATAACGGAATATTTTCAATCTTTATAGAGGATGTGGTAAGTGACAGAGCTCTAGCCGAAGCATCGACATCTAAGATCATTTTTGACAGGCTGTTTAAAAACATTTTCTATTATATTATATTAAAATCATAAATAATATTCAACGTTAAACTGGTACACAA